TTTGCATCCATCAAGCCTCTTCCACGTCCCCCGGTTTCTTTCTCTAAGGCATGGAATCACAGTCCAAAACTTGTAGACAAATGTAGCTTTGCTTATGTTCTGACATCGGATAAGCTATACTTTGATGCAGCCTAGTTATTACAGAGTTCAGATGTCTTCTTTGTTAAAAAAACACAAGGTGATCAACTTTACCCACTCCGATTCCCGGTTGGCTAACAATGGCCTTTCCAATCCTATCCAAAGGCTCCGCTGCCGAGCCATGTATGAGGCTCTCAAGTTCACAGAAGAGATTGAAAATCTTGCCAGGAAGTTGGTTGAAAGGCTGAAGGATGGTGGCAGCCCTTACATTGCTCTTCATTTAAGGTACTTGAACTCGTTTTCCTGCTTCAAAGTTTGATTTGTAATGGTTTGCTTTTGAATTGGCTAACTAGAAAGCGTGTGCAGATATGAAAAGGACATGCTTGCTTTTACAGGCTGCAGTCACAATCTTACCAAAGCTGAAGATGAGGAGCTTAGGCAGTTGAGATACAGCGTACGTCATTGGAAGGAAAAAGAGATTAATAGTGAAGAAAGGCGACGGCAAGGGATATGTCCGATGACCCCAAGAGAGGTAGCTGTGTTCCTTGAAGCAATCGGATATCCTTCGGATACAAAGATTTACATCGTTGCAGGGAAGATTTATGGTCGGGATGGAGTTAAACCACTTAAAGAGAAGTATCCCAACGTACTAACCCATTCAAATTTGGCAACAGAAGAGGAACTGATGCCTTTCAAGAACCACCAGAATCAGCTTGCTGCCTTGGACTATATCGTAGCACTGGAGAGTGATGTCTTTGTTTTCACCTATGTTGGGAACATGGCAAGGGCAGTCCAGGGCCATAGGAAGTATGAAGGTTTCCGGAAAACTATCAGCCCTGACAAGTACGTTTTAACGATTTAGTCACACCAGGAATCCATTTCTATCAAATCATTATCACTAAAAACAGGTATTTTCCGACGTTGTTGCAGACTAAACTTCGTGAAATTGATTGATCGAATGGACAGAGGTGAAATATCTTGGGACGAGTTTGCCTCCAAGGTTAAGTTATTGCATGCTAACAGGACAGGAGGACCAGTTCCCAGAAGACCTGGAAACTGCTCGAAAACAGAGGAGAGTTTCTATGCAAACCCATACCCAGGTTGCATTTGCCTAAAGCAAAGACGAAAAAGGAAAAAGTGTTAGAATTAGAAGATAAAATCATGCTCAACTTGGAGCCAATGACAAGCAACCATTGCTGTTTTAAGTTTATCAACAGATACCCAATTGTACATAAAGAGAAATTTGATATGTTTGAGCTCAAGGGAGTCTGAGAATTTTTAGCTTCTCCCCTGCTTGAGCTGATTGAAGCAATGGAAGGCCTTAGCTTTTAGAAAATTAGATCAGGAAATTAGCTATACAATGTAAGTACAAAGTGAGGAATACCATTATTTGTTTGTTGTAAAATCTACTCTTGTCCCTTCTTTATATCTTCAGGGTATCCCAATTTCACATGTAAAAATTCTTTATCATCACTCTTGTATTCTCTCTCACAAGTAGAAATAATGAACATGTTATATAAAAATCTAACAATAATAATTTTACTCACATATAAAGATAATAAATTTATGACAAAAGACACGAGAAAAAAATAATTAATTTAATATTATGTTAAATATTTTAAACGAGTATCTAAAATCAATAGAGGAAATGGTCATTTTATTAAAATATTAATGTTATATGAGATTATAAAATTAATTAATTTTTATATTAAATAATTTGATTGTGATGCACTTTTATATTAGAAAATAATAACTTGGGCTCTG